ATCAAAGCAATTGCACTTGCGGTTTTTAACAAGTCGAAAATATCACTTTTTACCAAAAATGACAAAAATATTCACCAAAATTAGAGAATTAAAGATATCATTACAAAATGAACAAATCTGAGAGAGGTCCACATGTAGTACCTATATATGTAATATCAAAGCAATTGCACTTGCGGTTTTTAACAAGAAGTCGAAAATATCACTTTTTACCAAAAATGACAAAAATATTCACCAAAATTAGAGAATTGAAGATATCAACATGAAATGAACAAACCTAAGAGAGGTCTACCCAAGGTACATATACACCAAGTATCAAAGCATTCAGGCTTGTAGTTTTCAAGAAGAAGTCAAAAAAGTAAAACATTGACACGGACGACGGAGACGGACAATCACTCATATGATAAGCTCCGCTCGACAAAGTCGACAGCGGAGCTAAAAATTACAGAAACATACAGAATTATACAGAAACATGCCTAGGATAATGCCTTCAGTAATTTAGTAACAAAAACAATTTCCAAACTTACCAATATTTAAAACTTGTAATATGGCAGTGGATCTAGCTTAAGTCTTTCATCTTTATTGTTTTATTCTACAAAATAAACAAAAACATACTTTGTCTGTCAATACTTTTTTGTATAATTTATCGCACTATAAAAACAAAAGAACAATGTGAAATAAATTTGTATAATACTAACTGGAAATGTGATGGCAACAATCTGATTACATATCTATGGTCTGAAGTATCTCAGACCACCTGTGTACCTACTATGTTGAGTGTTTTTTGGAACAGCTGGAAATATGTAAATTAATTAGGTAATTACTAGAAAGATGCTTAATTAATGCAAATTAGGTAATAAGAAGCATGAATTTCAATCCAATGCATCATGTTTCATTTATTTGTTAAGTGGTTCTTCCAATCTGGAAAATCTGCCTAACTAGTCGCTCATGTCAATGCGATAATTTCTTTAAAGAAATGATCTCATCAAATTTAAAATTACCATGTCAGTCAATTCCCAGTATACTGTACAAATACATTGCTCATAGTCTCATCCCATAAAGACATTCTAAGAGCCCAATGGTCAGTCACAATATTACTGTCACTGACACCCAACCTAGCAGGAATAGTCAGCTAAATTTCCGAATGGTTTGCTATGAGTCTCAAGATCCTTACATGATTAGAACTGGTTAGATTAAGGTAGCGGGACTATTATTTGCATACATGTACTTTTTTTCATCTTCTAATTGGGACCAAACGACTACAAACAGACCCAGGAAAGTATATATTTTTGGAATCGCCAGACTTCAAGCTTTTAAAAGGTGTGTTTGTCATGCCCGTATCTGCATTCTACGGTGCGTTACTTAATCAAAAGTGAAAAATTACTTTTTTTGTAAAAAAAATAATTACGCATTTATGTTGGTGATAATAAGTTTTGTTTTCACTTTTCCTAGTTGTCCAATAGTCTGGTAAATTGAATGTGTCTGATCAGTTTTATTCACGCAACGCGTTTTGAAAAATAGTGTCCTGAATTATAATTTCTG